AACAAGTTCCATCCGTTGTAGAAGTTGAAGTTGGTGATTCCGACGATGAAGATTCAACCTTTTTTCCAGCTTATTTTAGACCGTTGTTTTTCAATCCGTTCAGTTTTATGAACTTTGGATTTTCCGGTAATTTTCTTTTATAAAAATAACATGATACTTGTTTAAAATGTGACGGTGAAAGTCCTTTATTGACGTTTATATTTTTTTTTTTTTTTTTTTTTTAGATTTCTTCTCTAAACCATCTTGGATGGAAAGTCTTGTACCAAAAGGAATTCCAGATAGCGCCGTTAAAAATTCAACATCTACTACAAAAGTAAGTAGTATATCCCCTCCTGTAAACGTCATCCTCAACTCAAAGTCAAGGTTTCCTTTTAATTAACGCTAATTTATTTTTTTTTTCATCATGTATCCACCAATCGGAGAACGTATAATAAAATATTAATTGATTCACTCTTGCAAATCTTTTAAAACGTTTTTTTTTGGGTCGCAAATTACTCGAACGAAACAAACAAATTACATTTATAAAAGAATATGATGATAATGATGATGATCATTTATAATTTTCAGGTTGTCGACGGACACAAAATCACAGTAAACGATACGATTTACGAAAACGAAAAGAACGGAGCCGTTTACAGATTTCAAGTTGTTGAAATTTTACCTGCTGACAGTCAGGAAACCGGAGAAAAAGGATCCGATGATGAAAAACCAGACAAATCATCATCATCATCGTCGTCGGAAGAAAAAGATGTTCAAACTGTGACGAAATCGACTGAAGACTTGGATGTCAAAATAAATACAACGGAAGATGGGGAAGAAGGCGTTGTTAAACCTGATCAAAATTCTCACGATAACGAAATACGCAGAGAAGAGGTGAGCTCACCTGAAAACAGAGATGTTCTGTTAGCCTGATACAATTTTCCTTTTCTTATAAATAATGCCAAAAAAAAAATAAATAAATAAATAAATATTCTTAGGTTTGCGTGTAGAAATACAATACAAAATTTTTAACACAGAAACGCACAAATATTTAATAAAAAAATAATAATAATAATAATCGTATAGTTTTATATTTAAAGTGAGGCACATTTTACCCTTGCTTATTATTATTATTATTATTATTATTATTATTATTTAAAAGCTAAACCAAAAGTTTATCTATATATATATCAGGAGTAAACAAAATGAAAATAAAGGATAGTTAATAAATTTTTTTTTTTTTTATTTTTAAATTAACGTGGGGGTTAAATTTGTAATGAAAAAAATACTGACCTAGATAAACAAAAATTATTATTATTATTATTATTATTTTTTTTTTAAAAATTTAAAGCCCACGATAATATTTTGTGATATGATAAGTAGAAAGAGAGAGAGAGAGAGAGAGAGAAAAAAAAAAGAAAAACTTCCTTTTTTCATTTTTCCTCCTTAGGTTGTAAGAAATTTATTATTATTATTATTATTATTATTTTTTATTTGTAATCTCATTAATATTTAATATTATTATTATTATTATTAATAATTTTAAAAAAAATGTAGAAGAAAACGTATAAAAAAAAAAAAAAAAACAAATTATTTATTTATAAAAAAAAAAAAAAATTTTATGTGGAATTTTATATTTTTGATAATTTTTGACGAATTTCGATAATAAATAAATAAATAAATAAATAATAATAATAATTTTTTTTAACATTAACTTTCGATAGCCTTTTTTTTATTTTAATATTTTTTAAAGGGGAATTTTAGTTTTTTTATTACTGAAAGAGAGAGAGAGAGAGAGAGAGAGAGAGAGAAAAGAAAAACTTAAAATTACTAACTGCTGTAAAAAAATAAAAAATAATAATAATAAAACCCGTCCTCTAATTTAAAATTGTAATTTTGTAAAAAAAAAAAAAAAATAAATAAATAAAAATTGTTTAATTTCAAATAAAAATTTCATTTAAATTAAAAAATTTTATTTTTAGTACCTCTTTATTTATTATTTATATGCCTTATGACAAAGTCTTTCATCGACTCCTGTTCCTATTATTAAATTATGCGAGTAACCAAATTATTAACCGATTAACCGGAAATTTGAAAAAAGTTATGCGGGTTTGCACCTCCTTGAGTTATGAATTTTCTACGGACAATTTTTTTTTTTTTTTTTTAACAATATGCTTTTCTATGTCTTCTTTTTTCATTAACCTGTTAATAACACATAAATTTAATTATAAATACATATTTTTGATAACTTAAGGGCATTGATTATTTTAATTGCTAAATTTTAAAGACTTCAGGTGTAAATAAATAAAAAAAAAAAATTTCAAACAAATGAAAAATGAAAAAAGGAAGAAGGTCGACTTAGGAAATGCAAAAAAAAAAAAAAAAAAAAAAATTGAAGGTCGCGATCGAC